CGGACTATGTGTCCTACGATACGTTTGCGATGCGATGCCTGAAAGCCAAGACATGCAAAAAGAATATACAGACGGAAGAAGCAGAAAAACATTGAAAACATTGAGGTTGGAGACCCAGTTTTAGTAAATGTTAAAAAGCTTCCTGCATATGCAGTCTCTGCTGTCATCCCCGTACAATATTAATCGGACCTTTTAAGGTCGTGGCCATGCGAGGCCTTAGGTACACGCTAAACCTTCCAAGAAAGTTGCACACCCACCCTGTATTCCCCTTAAGGCGTACCGGGATCCGGTGCAGGTTGATGCGGAAGCGGTGGCGCCGAGGCGGCGCTTAAATGCGCTCAGCCACCCAGAAGCTGGACCAGCAACTGGTTTTGAGCACAGAGAGCAACGATTTTCGTTTCCGACGGCGCCAGGCGCTCCATCGTCGCACGAAGTGACGTATTTGTCTACTCGACGGCTAGGAGCCGCTCCGGCAGATCGCGATAGTTCTCACCGCGAGGCAGTCGGTGCAAAAATTGCTTCAAGCTCTCGAGGTTCTCCGCACAGAGGTTGCATCCTCAGCAAGCTGCTCAGCGGAGTGCCGAGAACAACGGACTTTGTCCTCCAGATTTCGAAGAGCATCGCGAGCCACCAGACGGCAATCGACCAGTTCGTCACCGTCCACTGCCAAATCTTTTAGATGAGAAGGGTGGCGTCCACTATCACGTAGAAAGCTTGTGGTCGACGTCGTCGACCGGGTCAAACCCAATATCTTGTGAAGTGGAGGGGATGCTCACACTCTGAGAACTCGTGGGAGCTCGATGTGTCACTTTGGCAAGACTACCCAATCGTCGTGAACGCTTATGATCAGAGAGATCGTGACGCTTCGCGTCGTCATACACCCGCGCTTCTAGGTGATAGCCCGGGAAGCCGAAGGGTCATGAGCTGAACTTAAGATATGGCCCTGATCTGCTGTGGTCGTGGACTTACCCGTGCGAGAAGCCACAGAGCTCGCGGGAGCGGGATATATTGTTTCTTATTTCGTAGGGCGACAATACGTAGGAAGTCGGCGTTGCGCCTTGGGTATGGCAAACTCAAATGGAAGGTGGCGTTCTACACGCACTTCCACTTCCTTGTGGCTCCGCTGTGAGTTCGACAGCGAGAAAACTTTCCGGATCCGCTGCACCCATTGCTCAAAAAGCTCGGGGTCATGAATTGAGCCTTGCGTACGTGTGGATTAAATAGTTACCGTACTTATACAGGATCATTTCTATAGTACCGAAATAGTAACCGAAGATAAAGATACTCTGCTAACGATAAATTTGTCCTAATCCCACGTGTGGTGGTAAAAAATCAGCTCTAAAACTTGCGTCCCCCTCGTGATGGCTTCTAATTGCACATCGCTTCTGCGTCAGTCAAGTCGAGCGGCTACGCTATCAATACGACGACCATCACTGCTGCTACAGTCCGTGCGATGGATGCACGAGCACGACGTTAGTGTCACAGTTGACAGAGCTAAATTGAATGGGAACAATGTGTCGACGCATCCTGCACCACGAAGGAATTCTAAGCGTCCTAGCGACCGGCGGAAAGCTATAAAGTCGACAACAAGGTCGATAATGCTCAATCAAACCCCTGCTTCGACTTCCATGATCCAAGCTGAAACTTTGGAATCAGAGACAACCAAGAAACGGTCACTAATGGCTTCATTTAAGGACGGTAAACCGTGGATCACAGTTATGGGCCTCGGTGGTGCAGGTAGCAACGCTGTCAATAATATGATCGCGTCACAACTAGAAGGTGTCGAGTTTATTGTAGCTAACACAGATTGTCAGGCGTTAGGACGCTCTTTGGCACCACACAAGATCACGTTAGGCAAGGATATCACCAAGGGACTAGGAGCAGGATCGAAGCCTGAGCTAGGCAAGCAATCAGCAGAAAGGCAAAAAGAAGAGATCAAGCAGATGCTTCAAGACAGTAATATGTTGTTCATTACCGGCGGTATGGGCGGAGGAACTTGTACAGGTGCTGCGCCTGTTGTAGCCAGTGTCGCCAGGGAACTGGGTATTTTAACAGTCGGAGTCGTAAGCACTCCATTTCGATCAGAAGGACCAAATCGAACGCGACTAGCAAATGCTGGTGTCAAGGAATTGTCCAAGTATGTTGATACATTAATTGTCGTGCCAAATCAGAATTTGTTGGCATTAGCAGACAAGCAAACGACTATGCTGGAAGCCTTTCGGTATGCGGATGATGTCTTACTTGAAGGAGTTAAAGGTGTCACGGATTTGATTGTTCGGCCCGGATTGATTAATCTCGACTTTGCCGATATCAAAACGATTTTGTCGAATGCTGGCCGCGCAATTATGGGATCTGGAATCTCAAGTGACAAAGATCGTGCTCGAGTTGCAGCTGAACAAGCGCTGGTGAACCCTTTGCTTGGTGATTTGCCAACAGAGTCTGCTCGTGGATTGCTCGTAACAATTCGTGGTGGTGAGGATATGACATTATTTGAAGTCGATGAAATCATGGAAATCATTCGCAATCGTGTTCATGACGATGCCAACATCATCTTCGGTACATGCTATGACCAGTCGTTGGAAGGTTCTGTATTTGTTTCCATCATTGTCAGTGGTATTCAGACTGATGTCATCTCGCCGCCTATTGGAAAAGATCGTGCTTCGTTGCAGGGAACAAACAAGCATGATGAGTCTGAAGACGACTCACGGCCTAATGTTATCGAACAACACGACGAGCAACACAAGGGACTCTTTGCTCGTTTTTTTTCGTTATAAGAAAAATTGAGTAATCAAAATTGGTAGTCAAAGCTAACACAATCTGGAAAATAAAATCGTTTGTTGAAACCTTATGTCATGGTTTAGAAATAGACGTTAGATCAACTACAGTCTCAAAAATCAGTGCGTAAGCTCTGCAATAGCACCCTGAAGCTGTATATGAGCGTATTTCAGCAGCTCGACATCCCGTTTATCGACAGAAAGCTTCAAGTTGCCATCAGTCTCATCTTTCGCGTATCCAAGGCTCTTCAAGAGCGCCACGCCACCTGCGAGACTAGCAACTCGTTTACGAAATGCCGGGTTTACAAGATTAATTGTGCGAAACTTCTCTTCCTCAGGTTTCTCAATCAGATTCTTCACATAAACGTCTAATGTCTTCAAGGCCGTAAGACCATCGTTGCCGACGCGGTATTTTTTTAAAATCCCGACGTTTTTTGTAATATTTTCCTTTGGCGTTAATACAGGTCCCTTTACTTTTTCTTCCTCCATTTTTTCGCTTATTTCAACCGGTGCAACATCAATAGGTGGACCACCCAAGCGCCCACCACGGGCTTGACGTTCACGCTTATCCATCTCGAGCTGTTTCCTCAAGCGCTCACGCTCCCGTTTAGCATCTTCTTTGTCCTTTTTCATTTTTTCCGCTGCAACTTTCCGCTGAATAGCTTCAATTTCTTCGCGTGCTTCAAGCAATCCCTGTCCCTCCGTACGGCGCTTAAGCTCATTGACTCTCTGATCCACCTTTTCCTGCTCTTCGCGTTCAGCACGTTTTTTTGCAATGCGAGCCTTTAATTCCTCTACTTTTGCAGCTTTCTCTTCTGGAGTCACGGCACGAGTCATCTCCGACATATCAACAAACTTAATAGGCTCATTAATATCTTCATCGTCTTGATGATCACCAAGCCAATTAATAGCAACTTCAAGTCCTTGGTTGTCCGTTGCAAGCAGAGCTTTTTGACAGTGAAGGTCGTTGAACCCCATTTCCTTCAATTGCGTCAACAGATCTTCATTTACAGGTGGAAGTTTCATCTGGTCGCTTTCTCTGTCATCCTTACTCAGAGGACGGCAAGTGCCGGTATTTGGGTCGCACACTAAGTTAGAATCTGGTACCGCCGGCTTAGCAGCAGCGACTGAAGCAGACGGCATCGGAACGTCTGGTACTAAACTCACATTGTTGAACCGCTTAAGTCTGGCTTCACGAGCCTCAGCAGCAGACATTGGCTTGACTGAGCTGCCAGAGCTAGCGCCAAGTGTCATGCCAGGAGACGCAAAAGGATTATAGGCCGATTGCCTCCACTGTTCAATCTTGGCACGCAATTGGTTCGGATCGGCACCTACGAGTTCGTCTACCTTGTTTTGACTCACATAGAAATGAAATGTAGGAAATCCACGAACGCCCAATGCTCCGATGAGCGAGCGGTTCTGTGCTTCATCCACCTCAAGAAACACCACGTCATGGTACTGGTCGCTCAATTGGTGGTAGACAGGTTTGATATGCTGGCATGGACCACACCAGACGGCTGAAAAATCTACAACTACCAGTTTCCCTCCCGCGCTCTGCATCTGCGAGTTCCAGTCAGAGTCGCCATGCACTGTTGTCACACCCATGATGGCAATTCTTTTTTCTTCTTTGTATCCCCTTAAGTTCAAATAAGTACGTGACTAAAAAAATATATGATCGTGAAAAACTATAAAAATAATGAATTAAAATATCTTAATAAATTCAGATTAAGATTTCTTGATAATTGATTTTGATTCATAACTTGTTCGAGCCAAACATTTCGAAAATAAGCGTGAAAATGTAAATTTGAGCTTCATAATAATGTTTGCTAGTACAGCAGAAAGTCAAATACTCTCGTAAGACCTAGAGCTCTCATGACTAGGCTACTCTACTTTCAATAATGATTGCAGCAGAAATAGAGCTTTATTTGCCATTTCTCGATTTGTCGGCTGTCTCACAAGTTCAAGATTCCCGCCAACCTCTTAAGCCTGATCAGCCTTAAGTTTTTTTGTGAAAAGCTAATCCTAACAACCAATGCCCCAACTCCGACTTTCGCATCAGCATTGAATCTTGCGCCCACAACAATTTTTTTGACTGGTACCAATGTCGACCGATCCCATCCTAAATTCGGTCCTACTGACCCTCGCTCCAGCAAATACACAAACGCGCTTTCGGCGATGGAAGCGACCATCCTCAAGCAACCGACTCAGCTGTCAGCCCGTCTATTGAATCAGAAGGAATGGTGAATGAGTCGATGGATTCGACAGTAAATGCGAGGGGGTCAAACTACAACAGCTTTAGCGACGCTAGATGCAGTCTCTTTCCCTGCTCCAGCGAATCCGTGATTAAATATGGCTGAAGCTCACCGTCTTCAAGAAGATATCTGCCGCGATAACGTGGCTTTGATGCTGACCACCGTCGTGTAAAAACTTCCAAGCCACTCGCTGTCAACATTAAAGCCATCGAGTGCCAATACGCTGATAGAAGCGACCGGTCTTACATCACGTCGTGAATGAAGCGAGCGCGACCTTATCAGCCCCCAAATGTGAAGTATGATATGGCGATTAAGATTGCCAGGGCACTCGCCAAGACATAAATAGCGTGGTGCCTTGGGCTGGCACGTGTCATGGTAGTACAGCGCTCTGCGAACTATACGAGCAATTTGAATTTGCTAGCTTCCAGGTGGTAATTTCGCGTCAAAGTGACTGCGCGAAGCTAAAATGCACAAAGGTAACCATTCAAGATGGCACTTTCGTGCTCGAGAAGTTTGACATCCGTGGTGAACAGTATTTTATTGACATTGTCAACATCGGTCCCGGCGTAAACATTGATATGGCTTGTATCGACTGTCCCTCCTCGGGTGTCAGCAAATGTACGACACTTTCGTGTGGTGGACCTCGCATCTAAGATAATATCGGTAACCTGGCGAGTATTAGTTCTGTCCAGCTCGTGCCAAAGCGCTTTAGTTGTAAACGGTTTGTGTGTGGCGAAGTGCTGTTTAACAGTAAACTTTAACTGACGCGCGGAAAGATGATCTGTTTTGCTTCTAGCAACATCCACATGGCTTTCGCTCGCATCATGTCATCGAGCTTGGGACTGCGAAAATCTAATAACCTGCTAAAAAAAGATTATGGGCTATCTCAACAGCAATGTCAGCAACCACCAAGAGCCTATGCTTAGGATCCCAAAGTGTAGTCGAAGACACCACACTGCAATAGGTAGTCGAAATTGAAAAAAAGAGAAGCGCACCCCCAACATAGAGCTCAGCATGACAACTTACCGGCTGAAATGGTACTGGATAAGCCAAGAAGAAATTCGAAATTACTCTCAATTATCACGTTTGACGACTCTCAAGGCAAGATGACTCCACCTGGAGGTCCTAAGCTCCAAAGTCAGTCTCCGATGCTACTTTTATCAAATAGAGACGATGACTTCTCCGCCCTGAAAGCAAGGCAAAGCGCTTGGGAAGCGGGATCGATTATTTTAACATGCTGGTGACAGCGACCGCAGCCTTCCACTACTAATACCTTCCAGGTGCTGCAGTCGTTAGAGATCTTTCTTGAAGCCAATAATGTAGTCTCCAATAAGAAGTATGGTACTCGCTACCAAGTGATTCCAGTCGAAGTGAAGCTTTCAAAGGCACTCAAGAAATTGACAGATATGGCATTTTTTGTCAAAAAGCACCACACAAAAATTAATGTTGCTTCCAACTGTTTCTCATTGCTGGAGTCGATGTTGCACAAAGAGAACACGGCACTGCTTAGAATTCTGTCCGATAGCTTTTCTGGAGCCACTATTGATGCCGAGAGTATGAGTAAACACCTTGGCAGCGCCATAAATCCAGACAATGTTATGAAGAAGGCGTCGCTGGCTTTTAATAGCGCACTATCACTGGAGATGGCTGGCACTGGACATGGCGCCGCCGGGTTTGCGCAGCCCCATGCGATTTAGCGTGTGTTGAGTTCGACCCAGCAGTGCGAAAATATCACATTTATTGCTTAGAGAAAGAAACACATAAAGATGGCAGTCCCAACGACGAGAGCGGAGCTGTTAAAAACGCTTGCCAAATGGTGGATTTCATCTAATCAGGCGATTGAGCCTCTCGAGCGATAAAGGTACTCGGCTTCTTCGGGCTTATGCTGATATCGATTGTGTCAACGATTTTTTGCAGCAATCCCTAAGTTCAGCACCTCACTGGCCAGCCAGTGGAGTGGATACCTGCGCACCACTTTGGGTCCCCCAACCAACATGTGCCTCATGATCTTGCGGCCCAAAGTAGACTTTCATAGCATACAACAATATAGCGAAGTGCAGTGATGGTTTTTTCTCACGACCTGGATGAGCTGCAGAAACTCGATGGGTAAAACACTGTCGATGAGAGCTGTAAGTTCTTGAGAAAGAAGAGGTACTATCAGCGGACGCATTGGCCACTCGCTGCTAACCATTCCCTTCGAAATCTACCTGGACACATATCAGTCCTTAACCATCAACACAAATGGCAAAAAGATCGGTCATTTGTTTATCGACAGCGTGTTTTCAAAAACACTTGGTTGCATGCGCTCAAGAAAGACAGATCACACCCCTCCTTATAATTTTAACTCGTCTCAAGCTTTAAGCATAAAGCTTTTGAGGACGACCCCAACAAACATCTACACCAACCAACGCGAGGAAAAGCAATGGAGTACTCACGATACTTCGTTCAAATATACCAGGCTTCGACACGGCGGAAAAGGTCTCAAGACCACTTGTTCTCGGTCGGTACTTTGTGTGAAGGTGATGGGTGAGGGTACTCCGATCTATATTACAACGTATATGCGCAAGTGATCAGCAGGAGAGCCAACAATTGTATTTGTAACTGGAGACAGAGGAGTATGAAAATCAACGGAAAAACATGGTGTTAAGTGATCTAAACAATGCTCTGGACCAAACAGTATCGTCTTCTCACAAATTACGCTAGAACCTGGTCGATTAAGACGCTTGTAAAGGCTGGTAAAATTGATGCTCGCTTCATACTCGTCTGTCCTCTGTTGTGAACTGGATTTAAAGGAAACGTGTGAGTCCAGAACTACATCGAACAAGTCTTTTCAGACCTACTTCCTAGAAAAAAACATCTGGACATTATTTTGTTTTCAGATATGAATGCATCTACGATGATTTCGAAACATGCCGGTGATGGTCATGCTCACAGTGAGAGTCTCATGTATGGTTTTCAGCTGCATAGCAAAGGGTACTTGAAGCTTTTCGCTAACTTCTTGATTACTTATTGCGGTACCCGAAATTGACCAATTGCTTACGGCAGGAATTCGAGTAAAGATTTGGGAGAAGAGAAAATCAAGTATTTGCTGCAAGAGATGCAAAAGAAGCTTCGGATACAAGACACGCATGAAATCGGAGATGCCCTTGTCAGGCTGGACCGAGCTTCCGCGCAACTTTGTTAGCACCGTATGAGAAATCAAAGTCTTTGGGTCCCGGGGGGAGTATGGTGGCAAGGCTAAAAGTCAAAGGGAATATACCGCATGCTGAGGAGCGAAGGCGATCGTGCGCTCTATGATGACGTCATGAGGAACTACAAGGCGACAATCACGAGGACGAACCAACACAACCAAAGTACTGCATTCGACTTCCGAACGGCCAACACCAAGAAATCGGCCAGGATTTTTTTTGTCACAAGCTTGAGAAGTATCTCGATAAAGTTGGTGATCACACCAAGTGGCAACGTGTATCAATTGGGCCTGGCCGGAGATCGAATCCGAGCATGGAATTTCCTACAGATACTTCTCCAATTCACGGCGCACTGTTAATCCGAGATAGAACTCCCCGATAATTCAAAAGGTAGAGATTATCTACATAACTAGCCATGCAGTGCAAACGGCTTGACTCTATCGTTCGGGTTGCGTCAGAGATAGACCAAAACCTCCTAAATGATTTCGTGACATTATCTGGACTCGCTTAAGCAATCAGACTCGAAAATTTGAATTGAGCCCTTGGCATGGATAAGTCGACTGCTGGTTTCAAAACAGGTGGTGCCAGACGTGTTTAGCAAATGCTTGAGCATCGTTTTCGACGACCACTGCGGCACGGGGTTTCTGCTTACTTATTAGTATAAGGACGTGATTCGTGACGTGGGGAACACGTTCCGCGCTGTAATTATCCACTAGATTCAATCGCTGTCTATTTGATTAGAGGCATCCCACTCCAACGACCCCTGCACTCTTAGTCGTCTTCATGGCAGTAGCACACACACCCGATTAAGCTTGGGATGACTTTACTGTAACGGGGTTACATGAGAGTGACCCGTCACTCTCCCAAGGGAGCTGTGGTGTG